AGTCTTTGTTCTGATGCCGCCCATCCATGCCACCAGATTCTGGTATCATGATCTGATTGGTCAGATCACTGACTGTTGACTCATTCCGCGAAAAATACCCCCTGCGCGCCAATGTTATTGAAGCCGGTACATTCACGAGTATAAAAACAACATAATCTGAAAAGTCTAATTACATTTATTGACATGTTATCGACCATGAGTTACAGGATAATTGCAAGTGGGCGGAAGGGTGGCATCAAAACAAAGTCTACATGCTCCCCCTCCATTTTTTCTCCCCCAGGCCACGCATTGCTCGCTTCGCTTGCCGAATCGCCCCGCTCCACTTGCGAGCCTGTTCGAGGGCCTGGCTGAATTTGAATCTACAGTCAGCGATAAAACATAAAACGATAAAAAGGGCTAAAGTAGCTAATCCTTCCACTCCACTGAGCCGCAAATTGCTAAAACTTGTCCAAATATACACTGAAGGTGGTGATAATAGAATTGGTGTAAACTATAGGTTGAAACCTCTCCGTGAAAATACCCCTAAAATGGATTGAAGAGACAAGAACCAACCGGTCAACCCAAGAACAAATAAAAAAGTTGTAAGACAGTTGGAAGAACTTGAAGTCAAGCTTTGTGCGCTTACCGCGAGACCAGATCTAGATCCAAGTCCGGATAAATGTGCTGATAAGTTCCCAAGGCCAGTGGCTAATTAACAATTATTCCTCGAGTGCGAATGAGCTCTGAGACAATAGCCCATGAGGCCGAAGGCTTAATGGGCTATTGAATCAGAGGCCGTGAGGGCGAGAGGAATAATTGTTTTAGTAAAATCTAACTAGTTGGTCAAAAATACCGAGAATAAAAAAAAATTAGCTAGTTAAAGCTAGACTTTAATCCTTTTTTGCCGCCAAAAAGCCCGCGCTTTTCGTTACTAGTGGGCTATAACATATAGCCTAGTAGTAGCTCAACCAATCAGAACGTAACGCAGCATTGGTAATAGACCAGTAGGTGGATTTTACTAACAAGAAGTATGCATTTTTTCTAAATACCCAAAATATGCCGTAGGGGAGAGGGGGTGAAATGGGGACCAAAATTTTCTCAGAAGTTTATAAGGTCTTAGAAAGTTCTCTAAAAGAAAATTGGGATAAACTTGTCATAGGTTTTTTAGCACTCTTGAATATGCGACCTCTTGGTTAGACGTTCGTAATTGTTATGTACAGTGCTCTATCTAACCACCGACCGGTTAGCTCAGTTAGTAGAGCGACGGACTGCCGTGCGGGAAGTCTCGACACCGGGTTCGAGCCCCAGACCCGACCAACACTCAGGGTCTTAAAATAACTGAGGAGAACATGCTGCCTTTGGAATGACATCTGCCAATGGTTGGATGTTCTAGTCTTATCGGATAAGGACGATAAATTATAGGCCCCGTCTCCTGCATCTTCAGTGTCATAGTCAGCAGGGGACGTTAAAGAACCCACGCACTTGTCGTAAAGCCGGAGTAGGGCACGGAGTTCCCGGTGTAGTGGTCTGGTCTTGTTTCACTGGTTGGTGCTTTACATAGGGTTAACCTCATTGCACCTATTCCCCCTTGGACAGATTTGCCCAAGGAAAATAAATGAGTATGAGTATGAGGTTGAAGTCGAAAGTCGGACGCGAGTTTGAGGAACAGGTTAATATTTTCTGTAACGCAGCCGGTTACAACAATCATTTTATATAAAACCTTTCATTAAACAGTGTTCGTTTTAAACATAAGGATAATACATTATTGAGATACATTATTGACATGCTTGTTGATTTTTGATTAAAATCTCTGGGCACTTATTGTTTACATTGTGTTCTGGGTTTGTCTTTATTTGAAAATAATTCTAAGAATAATCAAGTTCCTTATTATAAGAAGTCAAACATCACGATAAACAAGTTTAAAAATACAATAGAATTTAACTTCAAACCATTCAGCAAAGCAGACAGCAAATTGTTCACGGTGAGCCCATCGGACGCAAAAAGCTGCAACCTAGAAAACTACTTTTGCATTTATTATTCTTTTGAGCTTAAACTTTGCAGGATGGAAGAGAACTCTGTATGCCAAAAAATATTATGTTTTTTGTTTTTCGATTTTAACGGTTTTTGGCGGGAAAATGACGTCACAAGATTGACAGAAAAATAAAAAAATTCAAGATATGGCAAAACAAATAAATAATTTTAAAAAGGCACGACTTGGTAGAATAGAATGTGAATTTTTTTTTTTTTAAAAAAACTCAATTGGTTCAAGAGTTATTAAGCTTTGATGTTTGAATTTCCTGCCATTTTGTGACTATTTTTCTTAGAAACATAAGTACATTTCAAGATGCTATATCTCCTAAAGCAATTGAGCTTTTCCAAAAAACGTTTTTGCCTTTGTTTCTATCACGTCAAGCTCTTGCAAGAGTTTCACCATCCTGCAAAGTTTGAGCTCATGAATAAAAAATGCAAAAGTAGTCCCTAGCATTGCCTAGGTTGCAGCGTTTTCCGTCCTGTGGGTCCAGCGTGGTTGTTGCTCGAAATAACTGTCCATCAAACTGTTCAAGTGACCAAATTTGGAAGAATTTTGCAATATTGAACTGTTAACAGAGAAGACCTGGGAAGGAGGTTGAATTGTTTTCGTGGTGAGTAGAAAAAAAGGCGGAACATTTCACTCGTTTCACGAGCAAGAAATAGGTGAACTATTGGCTAAAAACATAGCAAGAACAGCAAGAAGACAACTTGACGGACGACATCTGCTATTTGGAGAATATTTGCGGGGCTTTATCTCCTAAACTTGCCGATTAACATGCACTATCGAAGATGGACTTAACGTCGACGGTGGTAAGTATGTTTTAGATTTTTTATAAAATTAACAATTAATGGAAGAGGCTGAGTATCTTAATATATAGATTTAGCCAGGGCTAAAAGCGAAGCTCTCTATAACATTTATAGTTTGTTCAAACAAAATATAAAATCGTGTAATGCTAGGCGGCGAAGGCATGCATCGCCGGAAAATGTGAAAATCAACAATAGGTTTAATTAGCAAAAGCAACTTTGCACGTGCAGCACACTTTTTTTGTACATATCTTTGCCGTTGTTTTGCACGACTACAACGTGAAACTTCCAGAAACTTCTTAGTTACACGTTTTATGGAGGAAATGTCGTACGTGTTCCCGTCTTACATTGGTATGCCTGTGGTGCGGAGGGACGGTCTCTCGGGCGGGCGGTCGGTGTACGGTCACGTGATTACCAAATTTTCTCGGATGGGTAGATTACTTCATTTTCTTACCCATGGAGCTCCGCTGGCGCGTTTGGCGTGCGAGAGCTCCGCTATGAAGAATTATTGAGATCGAGAAGGGTGTTATCCCTCGAGGCCGTAGGCTGACGCGGATAACACCCTCCGGGATCTCCATAATTCTTCATATGATATGAAAGCCGAATTCAATAATTGTTATATTATTCATTCAAAATAATTCCTAGTTTAAAAACATAGCTAAAACACACTTACCTCCATCGATGTTAAGTTCATCTTCGATAGTGCACGTGTAAGGTTTTTCAGCTCCGCAAATATTCTCCAAATAGCAGATGTCGCCCTTCGAGTTGTCTTATTGCTGTTCTTGCCATGTTTTAACTATTATTTCGCGTAGTTTTTATTCTTGAAACGAGGAAAATGTCTACAATTTTGTCTTCACAGCCAAAACAACTCAACCTCGTCCCAGGTCTTCTCGCTTAACGGTGTATTAACCTCCAAGGAAGCTGCACCTATGACGTCATCGGTTGATTAATCGCAAAACTCCTACAAATTTGGTCACCAGTAGCTGGTTATGTTGAATTATGCGTGTGCTTTTAGCCAGTCAGAATCGGGGAAACATTTTGAATGAATAATAATAGGAATTATTTTGAATGAAAAATGAAGTACTTATTGGATTTGGCTTTCGTATCATCCGGAAGAATTACGGACATCAAGGAGGGTGTTAGTGGCCTCGGTGGATAGCACCCTTCTCGACCAGCAGAATACTTCATATCCTACTCAGCCTAAATTGCTAAATACAACAATGAAGTGCCAGTCTCATTTAACGCAGTGTAGCGATACTTATCGATCATGACCCCATGGAGCCCATTTCGCTTGAAAAATTTGTTTGAGAACTTGAGAAGTATAGTGGATTCAAAGCCTTGTTTACTAGAGGCGAAGAAAGTCCGCGAAGTCTATCAGGAAAGTCCACCTTTGACTTGGAAATCCTAGCATATTCCACCAGTTGAGATAATTATGCAAACACCATAAGCCGGTTTGGTGGGGATGCTGCTGTCCATACATGGAAAATTGACGATTCGGAATGCAAAGTCATCTCTGATCTGTTATCGTACATGCTGAGATGGAAAAGTGAGTTATTGTCACCAAGCTCGACTCTTGGGCCAAGGTCTGACGCACTTCAGTTATTGAAATGGAAATGTCTTTTTAAATTGGCTCAAATTCCGAAGGGTAAATTTTTTATTTTATACGTCATCAAGTTACTCTCTCCTTTTTCAATCTTACGATCTTGAAGACCGCCATGTCATAATCATAACTGAGATACAATGGCTTACTTACTACCGGTCCAAGTCCTTGATCTTTCTATATGGGACGGAGCTTTACCTCCAATATGGAACCTCTAGTTTCTCACTTATTTATACTGTAAATGGACTTTTAAAAACGATTTTCAGGGCAGTATGGGCAAGGAATTATCCTTCCATCTTGTAATTAACTTTACATATGCAAGACTGTATACTTTCGTCCTTCGTCATCACAAATAAAGTTTGGCCGTTATTGGGATCGGTGAAGATGACAGAAGGATAAAATCCTTCCTTCTCTCTCTCTCTCACAATTTTTTCTCTTTTTCTCTGTTCTTTACTGGTGTTGTCAACTTGCCAGAAGTAGCACTGCTTCTGTTGGGTCTGTGTGATGACTACAAGATACTTTTTCAATATATGAGAGTAACAAATCCCTGTGATAATTTTCCCAGCTTGATAGCCCTTCTTTATTTTTTTTTCAGCATGTCTCCATTCTTGACTGGTGAACCACGTCTGTATTTTCCCCTTGTAATTTTCAGCGTCCTCTGTCATGATGACACAAAATGGCTTACCCTGGGCAGCACAGGCGGTAATTTTAAAGCCTTTTTCCCTGTACTTTCTGATACTGGATACCCTTTTTAAAACTCTTTGGTCAGTACCATAATTTTTCAAAAGAAATACTCCAAAACTGCTACCTTCGTCAAATGCAAGGGAATATATCATCATTGACTTTTTCCTTTGTTCCCTTACAAAAGCAGAAAACTTTTTAAGGTCTGTAAAAATCTGCCAATCAACTGCAGGTCTTGGGTCGTGAAGTTTGGACGTTACAAAATATGCAGAGAGGAATCCATTATGTATACTCTGAGAAGAGACAACTCTTTGGGAGTTTTTTATGAAACTCTTCAGAAATTTAGAGTAAGAAATTAAATCAAATCCACTGGTAATTGGAAAGTCAAGCAAATTGCCACCACTGTACATTGGCTCCTTGAGGGGACGTTCTTTCTTTCCAGTCATAAACAAAGTCAAATCCCCACCTTCACCTAAAAAAAATATTTAAATATCAACTAAAGGATGAAACATCATTTAAATTAAATACTTATATATTTAACCCTCGGACGTACAAGGCGGGATACCATCCCTTCCTCCCCCACCCCAAAAATATATGCAGACATTGTATGTTATTTTTTAAAGAACCATTAACTATTTTATTTTTTCTTACATTTTCTTTTTCTCTCCGTCTTTCTTGAGGATGACTTTACTGTTTTTCTAAAAGATAATCTTTATTCACCGGCAAAAAGATGCATGAATAATTTTCTTATGTACCAAGTTAGTGAAATAGTCAGTCTTATATCAAACGAAATATAAAAATTTTCTTCTCAATTCCAGCCTGGAAAGGCAATTACTTACCGTGATCGACCAAGTACAGCGTGGGAAAATTAGTCAATCAAAAAAACTAATACTATTAATGCTACTAATACTAATGATGATGATGATAAAGATAATGATAATTATAATGATATTGATAATGACAATGACAATGACTATGACAATGATAATGATAATGATGATGATGATGATGATGATGATGATGATGATGATGATAATAATGATGATGATGATAATGATAATAATGATGATCATGATGATAATGATGATGATGATCATGATAATAATAATGGCAATAATATAGTAATGATAACAGTGTCAACTGATATTGACAAAGGTTATTAAAAAGACACTGAAATACAAAGACCCCGAGACACAAAAATGTGGGGAATGAAGACAGAGATCGACTGTGGCAGTTATTTTTGGTGCGCCGGGATCATGGGCGTAGGGGCCGGGGGACCGGGGGTGGCGGCAGCCCCCCTCCCCCAAGTTTCGAAAAGTTTGAAATTTTTCGGGCAAAACGCTCATGATTCGCGCAACAGCATTTGAGATAAAACTGAAAAAAAAAAAGAAAAGAAAACGAAACGTCAAGCTAAATGGACACATGCCAAATCAAGGTGTGTGGTGTCAATCAAGTGTTAACAGATGATTGAAACTTGTTGATTAACATTCATTCACTCTTTCCCACGGTGTCCATGCTGAGTTGGAATCTTTCTTTGAGAGCATCACCACAGTGTGGAAACTGTGTGAATGTATCATAGTTAAGATGAAATCGTGGATTGCTGAATCCGATTTCTCATTTCGCGATGCTCGTGTGCCACAAGGAAATCCCTCAACCCGCTTACAAGCGTATAGTCGGGGAAAACCCAAACGTCAATGCTGCAACTCCGCTATCGAAACCGAGGATTACCATCGTGTGAACACCTTTTTCACCTCTCTAAATAAGATCCTGGCCGAAATTGAGAATCCATTCAGAGGAAATGACCGAGATGTTTTTTGTTTTGTTTCTTTTTTTTGGCGTTTGGTGATATTTACTCTTAGTTATTCACCTACCAGTCATAGCTTTGACCTCTCTCGGCCAGGTACTATGATCTTGACAAGGAGCCACTCCAAGCAGACCAAGGCCTGTTCAGTCAATTCAAGACAAAAAACGTAATGAAAAAAACAAAAAACAGCTGTAGAAGTGATTGAAGTTTAGCACGAAAACAGCCTTTTGGAAATGACACCAGAGTTCTCCAAGATCGTATCTATTCTGGCCTTCATCCCAGCAACATCATCCTCAGCGAAGCGCTTATTAAGCCATTGTGAACAGTATTGACAGGATAATTAACATTTTCGGACACCACCACAGAAGAAATAATCTGTTTTTGATAAGCTTCTGATTTTACTAGATCGAGTAGACTGTCGATAGTGATCATAGAATATGCACGGTTTCCAAATAACTACTTGTGGAAATAGAACCGTTTCACTCAGTGTGAAAATTGTAAAGGTTTTTCCTTTTCATAGAATTTAAGTGCTTTTGTATTCCGGTTACAAAACTCAGGAATTTGAGCACTGTGTAATTTTTTTTCTGGAAAAAAGGTCACCGCTATGCACCCTAAATCTGAAGGTGCCCGTACGCCTATGGCCGGGATTCATTAAAAAGGGAATGGACAAGAATTAGGTAAAAGCCCTGCAGCCATTAACATCAATGAGCTGCAAAGATCATTCACTTGGGAACGGCGCGTATACTTCGACGATTTATTTCCATTCATATAAGATACCCCTCTAGCACCTCAGGACCAAGCAATGAGCCTTGAGTACTCAGACTCAGTGGAGGTATGACTTTGCGTATACGTCCGAGGGTAAACTGAAACGCATTTTGCTCCAACAGCGGTCGAGTAATCCGGACAGGCTGATAGACATTCAAAACCTTCAATTTTCTTGTTGAGACAAAACTTGGCTCAGTGGCCACTGTAACAGGTATCGCTGAAGATCATCGGGTAGAAACAGTCTCTAGGTACCAGATCCAAAATTTCTTCGATGCTGATTTTCCCATCATTAAAACACCAGTTTCCTGTACCAGGCCGCAGCCAATTAACTGCTGGTTCTAAAACACTGGAAAGTTGCACTAAATCTTCCTCGCAAGCTTCACGGCTTTCTTAAAAATAATAACGAAGCGCGTATAGTAGTGCGTAGTGCCTAGCGCGTCCAGCTCGAATCCTATATCGAAACAGCTTTGGAACAATACCTTCCTTCTAATTATACACCGCTGCAATGTAAACATTATAGTTTTGATTTCAGATTAATTAAGGAATGTAAAACATACACACCTTTGGTATCAAAAGCCGTCGAATACTCCGGACATGCTGCTAGGCAGTGGAAACCAGAAATACCTTTCTCCAGACAGAAATTTGCCCAGTGGCCACTGTAACAGGCATCACTGAAGATCATTGGATAATACAAGCCTCCAGGCAACATGTCAAAAATCTCTTGGATACTGATTGTCCCATCCGCAAAGCACCAGTTTCCAGTACCAATCTCGCCATGCCCAGTATAGTACAACATTGGACGCGCTTTCGTATCCATGCACTTTTGAAAAAAATTGGTAATATGTTCAAGAGCTTTGTCTCTGGTGAAATAAAAATCTCGGACTATGTTATAGATCTTTGGTATAATCAATTCCTGCATGTTGGCGAAGTCACGAGAAACACCAGCAAGAAATGCGCCATTTATATCTCCGGGGGAATCTCTTGGTCTTCGCTTGGAAATTTCAATATTTTCTGGTGGATTAGAGGCACCTGATAGCAATAACCAAAGGGTGGACTCATCCGTTGGTTTCCACTTTGACCACCGGTCGATTCGGCCAACATTTGGTCCCTGCGCAATTGCGGAGCCGGCAAGTCTGGACATGTTCCTAATAAGAAAGTATGCTTCACGTTAGATCCCATTTCGACTCGTAAATTACACAAGAAAACGGATATGGCAGGAATAAGTGATAAGTGTTTTATAATTTTTCAGTTAATAAGTTCCAAGGGTTTTTTTGCTTCCTATTGCATCCTTTCATTTATACACTGATACGATTTTCGTGTTTTGAGTAAAATGAAATACATTTAATTTATTCAAAATGGTGGATCTAAGATGCAGCTGATCTCGGTTCCTTTTTAGTAATAAATGGTGTCATCATGATATCACTGCTGTTGTTAAAGATTATATTTATATGTTAGCATGCTCCTTAATTTTATCAGACTGACACCTTACTGTACAAGTAACTTTCGTTTTTTGTCCACTTTGAGGGAAAAATGGATTCTGCCAATAAGTTCAGCAATAGGACTTCATAACAACGTCAAATTTATACGTCATTTTGTCCATCACGTTATGCCCAGTTCTGGGATTCCCAGTCGCAGGAAGCAAAACATAGGCACTTTTTACGTGCATGAGCTTTTTTGAGTGCTTCAGTATAACCGTACCAAGAATGATGAATCTACCTTTTTATTTGGGCGTCGCCCAAATAGAGTAATCGAGAACGCTTGTTTTGATTCAAAGTTGCAATATGTAATATTCACGCAATACGTGCGAACGTAAACAAGCCAAGCGACGCGAATTTCTGCTGTGTGATGTGTCACGACACATATCACATGTGTGTCACATGTGTGTCACATACATATCAAAGATAACGCACGGCAAACAAATCGAAAATAGAAGACAAACATATTGAAAAAGCAAGGTATACCGAGTGAAACAAACTATCACTACATACGGCGTGAATGTTTTCCCCCGGGAATATAGGTACTGGTCAATACCCTTTTGCGTTCTCAGACTATTCATTGCCAGTAATGGCTTATTGCCAAGCGTTTGACGATATTTTTGCCCTTGGTTGTCGAGAGCCAAAGATCTCACGCAAAATTCCGTAATCGTGCATAACATAAATAATGGTAACATTGAGTGAAGCATAATTTTATTGCAGATTTTCAGAAAGGAGGTGATTTCTTAACATTATATTGATCAAAATGATCTCGTAAACAAGTTTCATTCTTTCTTTTAGACTCAGCTGTATTGCATTGAACGACACGGCTTATGGTCTTTCCGAGGAACGCTGGTTCGGTCGATGTTATTTAGTGTCAACACGTCACGAAATCCGCAAAGAAAAATTTCCAAAATCCCCTATATATGGCCAGCCGGTTCTCACTTTTGCAGAGCGAGCTGTGGTCGTGTTTGAATGAACATTAACAAAGTTACGCTTCAGCATAATAAAGAATTTATTATGGTTATTTTTTATGGTTTAATTTATCGACGTGTAATCTTCAAAAGCGTTTGATACGCGCGGCATTTTGAGTACTCCTGCAAGCGATGTTCACTGAACGACTGAAAACTAACCTGAGATCAGGCCCAATTTTAGCGGTTCTCATACACTCTCTCTAACGGCTACCGCTAAAATTGGGCCTGATACAAACTCTCTCACGTTTGTGCTCGTTACGGCCACGTTTTGGCCGTAACGCTGATTGGCTGTTGGAACAATGCCACAAGTTCTGATTGGCTGTCGGAAACGCCGGAAGTTGAAAGCGCGTATTCCTCGCTTGTTTTTTTTGGGACTTTAAGATCCGAGACGCGACGGCTGTAAGACGCGACAGGAAGTAAATTTTCAAAGAGGAGACATGTTGCGCATGCTCAAGCCGTTGTCCTGGACCGCGTCGCGTCGAAAACGTGGGTTTTGCGTGTTTGACGTTCTGTACAAAACGTGAGTATATTTGTTCCTGTGCTCAAATTAAATGATGATATATTCCTCTAAACATGTAAAATCAGCCTTCTAGGATCATTGGACGTTTTTTCTGGCGACATTTTACATCGCAGAGATGGAAGGATTTTGATTATTTTTAAATTTCTTTCATGTGTACGAAGCTTATAAAATGGCAGCGCCTTCGACTTCGACTTCGAGCGAGGCTTGCAAGTAAGTCACGAGCTAAAACTGCAAATAGTGAATGCAGGAGTCTTCTGCATACTCTTCTCGTCTCTTGTACCGTTGCAATTCTCGATTTATTGCGTTCATATGCTGCTAAAAGCCAATTTTAAGCCTGTATTACTTAATTTAATTTTATTAAACTGCGTGTGTTTTCATGCTTCCTTTAGTCCAGTAATGTTTTGGACTCATGATCATGAAGCCAATCTATGCAGAGAAGTCGTCAATGTAAATCCCTACACAACTAAGAAAGGGTCAACACAAAGAAGCAGAATGTGGGAAAAAATAGCAGACACCTTGAACAAATTCACTGTGGGAAATTCAGGGTTGACGAGCGATCAGTCCGAGACCACGTGGGAATCCTTGTTTACAAGCATAAGAAGAAACTTCCAGCGGAGGAAAAAGCAACTGGGATAACTCCCGATGAGCCAACTGAACTAGAAAACCTATTGGATATGATCATCGCGTTGGAGGAAAGTGACGAAGCGGAATTACAGGAAACACAGGGAATAGCTAGCAAAAAACGTCACTACGATCGGGCTAAAGCGGAAGATGTTAGACTAAAAGTTGTAAATAAACTGCACTGAATCCTGTTCAAATAAGCTTAAGTACTTGCTTCAGTACTATGCCCATCAAAGTCTGGTACAGATATTTTTATTGAAGTACACTGTCCATGAAAAAAAATATATGTAAGTCTTATATTATTTCATTACCCTGAAGTAGTTTTCGTAGTTAAGTATAACTGTTAGAAAAACCAGAGTTGGTTAATCTTGATGTTTGCAGGTTCTCGCATGGAGTTTTGACTTGACTTGCATTGTGAAATATAAACCAGCTATTACTTTTGCAGAAATGCACTAACCCTATTAAGAAAAAAGGGCTTGATCTAATGTAAACTCTACTGTGATATAGAAAAATTTTTATAGTTTACTGACCCAGATTTAACAATCAGAAAAGCTCCCAAGCACGACATACACGCTTGTTCGGAGTTGGTTTCCGTAAGCTTAACACAGTAAAACAACTATGAAATTTGAAGAACAACTATTGCATGCACACATAGAAAAGAATGACACGTACCTTTTAAACAAGTTTGTGGTCTAAACTCTATCAAAGATAAGGGTGAAAATATTTGTTAACAAAAGCAGGACTGCTTCGTACAAAAAAACAGCTTTTGTTTTCTTCAGATCTGCGTAGTTTGTTTGTTTGCGCGGGCGAAGAGAGTTTGCAGCCGCGACAATTTCGCGCCAAAAACAGGGTGTCTTGCTTGGGTTCAGTCTTCCATCGTCCAATTGTTGAGTCATTGTTTTGCGTTGCTGTCATTAGATGGTATATTGATCGATCAAGAAGGAGAAAATGATCCACTCGAGATAAGACAAAAAAAAAATCACTTCGAAAAAGTACATATTCTAGAACATTTTCAAAAATAATTATAAAACAGCAATTACAATGATTACCCGCCCGTGTTCGCTATTGTCGTATAAATATCTTTGAAACAGTATTCAAATACAGCTTTTTAATTTCCGTTCTTAATATCAGTTTCGACATAAGTGTTTGTAGACGTAATTCATTGCATATTTGCTCTCACCTTTCAGAACCATTCAATAGTGTTGTAAAAGTGTAGCGGTCGTATTTGTCTTCATTTGTGACTAGTATCAAAGGTGTGGTCATAGCCACTACACTTTTGACTTCATCTTTGACGTGCGTCAAAGGTAAAGTCAAAGTTACCAGCATATTTGACAACGACTTTGATAAGGGTCAAAGGAATGGCAAGGCATTGATTCATTTGACTTCATCTTTGACGCGCGTCAAAGGAGAAGTCAAAGTTGTTACCAATATGACTTCACCTTTACCAAGGTCAAAGGAGTAAGCAAAGAGGTTATATATTTGGCGACATCTTTAACGCGCGTCAAAGGTGCAGTCAAAGCCAAAACCATATTTGCCTTAACTTTTGACGCGTGTCAAAAGTGCAGTAAATCCAATTTTTCGTCCCGTGTCAGCGGATGAAAGCGATGACAAACCGAAGCGTCAACGAAGAAGTGGAGGGGATGCTATCGAACAAAGCACAAACAAAGCATTTCTTGGACTTTCTTAAATGATGCCATGGCTATTTCTGCGAAAGAATTGCCGAAGAATCACACTGATAAAGAGCGGTTTGCAGCCGCGTCGTCTTGCATCGCGACGGAGATCTTACCTTTACTTTTCGCGCGCAAACGACGGCGCTCTACAGGTCCAGTCCTTTATCAGCCACCGCGTTCTAGAAGTCGTCGCGTCCCAGATCTTAAAGTCCCTTTATTCTTGAATGATCCGCCGTCGCCGGAGAGAAGAATTGATTTTGCTGTCTTTTTTATTGTTTTATGGTCTTATGGTAGGAAAATATGCCTTTTACGTGCCATGGAAATTCAGAAAATTCATATTTTTGATTCATGAAAATATTAAGGCAACAGAAAAATAGAAATTTCAGTACTTAAAATTCGAGCGCGCCTAACCAAAATACTAGTAGAACATCGTATCGCCGTCTTTTCGAAAACTTTTTATCTTCTACGCCAACAGAAATAACCTTTGAGATTTCCTTTAATCTCGTAAGAAGTTTCATGTGATTGTGCTGACTGCTTTATTTTAAGCTGAAAAAATCGAAAGGTAAAAGCTATTTTTTAAGTCAGCCAGTCTGTATTTTTCCCACGCATGAAGAACGTGCATACTAGAAATACACGCAACGGAAGTAATTTTGGTTGGCTGATTCGGCAGATGTCAATCAATCAAAAAAGTGGGCGCAGACGTTTCGTAGAAGGTTTGTATCAGGCTCTGTTTTCGTTTCGCCTTGCCTGCCGGAATGTTATTACAAACCAAAACGAAAATTTAGCCTGATCTCAGGTTAACTGAAAACCAACGGCACAGCGATTAAAATTACAAGAGAGAATACTAACAATCAACAAAAGAAATATAATCCGGTGAAACATAT